TTTCATGCTGGCCTGCCCATACATCTTAATAGGTCACAAATGTTTGCTGCTATTCAGGTCTCATTATTTCATTCAGTGAAGTAATACCTTCTTTTACTCACTGAAGAATAATAATATGATAAGTTAACTGGACACAAGAGCTCTACTCAGAGCACCTAAAACAACTAGCTTATACGTACCACTGAGAAAGCGAAGCATTTGCTTGAAACCCATGAAGTGAACCAGAAAATTCCAATAATCTCTTCTGCATGGCCTGCCTTTATGCGTACTCCAGTGTGAGTTGCCAAGCAAGTAATTTTTCAGTATGGAACTTACATTATTAATATGTGCATATTGTAGTCTATATTTCACAAAAAATCTCACTAATTCACATAAAATTTTTGCTAATTATCCAATAACTTTAAAGAGCATGTTGATTTTAAAGTCATAAAAGTAAAATTTTCAGGAAGAAACTAGACGGCCATCTGTCTTATAAAGATCCCTGTATCGATTTTTTTTGGGGGGGGTACTGGAGATCAAATTCAGGACCTTGTGCTTGCAAGGCAGGTGCAGTGCCACTGAGCTAAATCCCAGCCCCAAGATTCTGGTATCAAATGAGAGCAGGAGTAATGGAGAATGAATTGATGATCTTTTTGGTCTCTTTCGAGATGTATTACATGATAACAAACAGCTACTGAACCACCAGTATAGAAGTTTCAAAAGACAAGTATGATCTGGGCCAGGGATTTAGCTCAGTGGGTCTGCCACTTGCTTTGCATGTTCAAAGACCTGGGTTTGATCCACAATACGCTCTCTCTCTCTCTCTCTCTCTCTATATATATATATATATATATAGTCTTATGCACAATTATATTAGGTACATTAATAGCCCCAAATATTTAATTTTTATCTCAGGAAAATTTCCATATTGCTAAGTATTTTTTAATTATACCACATAAATAAATATACTTCAGAAGTTGAAATTTAAGATGCCAGGCCATACAAATGATATTAGGCTAAATGTGCAATAAACTCACCGTTACCCACATGAATGATGACATGGCAGTTAGATATACAAAGTGAAATGGCAAAAAGTCAAGTGATTTCCCCTGGACTTAAACACATGGCACGATTTCTGAGGCTTGTTTATTCATAAGCACTACACTGAGCACTTTATAAACATCTGTTATCTTTTCACTCCTAACAACATCTGTGATGAAGGTACAGGGCTCAAAGTGATTCAGCAATTTGCTCAAGGTCATGCAGGTGAAAACTAGCCGTGCAAAGTACCACCTGCCTCGGGGACTTTCGGACTCCGGAGCCTTTCACAGTGCACATCAAGGCTTCTCTGCTTTCTCGGTCCCTTAATTGTAGACAGTACCAAAACTACATCTGTGGCTGGAGATTATACCCTTGATACGAGAGGGGGTCTCTGAAGCCTGCCTAGAAGACTATGGAAAATTAATTGGAGTTTTCTAGTGAATAAAAAAGCATTGACAAGGCCGGAGAAAATAGGTATATGCGTGCTGTTGGAGTTGTAAATGGGTTCAGTATTTCCAAAAGCTATCTGCTAATGGGAATGAGAGCTATAAAATTTGTCTTGCCCTTTGACTCAGTAATTTCAATCTTCGGAATATACCCCAAGGAAATAACAAAAAGAAAAAGGTAATTCGTTCAAGATGTTCATTCAGGGGCCATGTGTAGTAGTGAAAAACTGGAAACAACCAAAATTCCCAGTAATAGAACAATGACAAAGCAAACTAGGCTAGTAGCAAAATAAGAAGAAAACTTTATAATCCTCCAAATGAGAAATATAGAATACACTCATACGTGAACATAAGTTACGTGGTAACTTTATGTTTGAAACTAGAATACAAGTTAGTATAAACTCGTGCAACCAAGTAACACAGTATACGCACTAATAATAACATGAAAAGTGTGAATTTATAAGACGTATATCTTCCTTTTCAGTGTTGAAACCCCAATGCCAGAACAGTAGTTGACATAGAGATTGTTTTTAGTGTGACTTTTAAATGAAAGCAAACTACAAAGATCGTATATTCAGATCTTGCTCTAACAAGGAAGTCAGACACCATCACTTGCATTTGACAAACTCAAAGTAGAGGGAGAAAGTTTTATGGTGAAAAAGGGAGACGAGTTTAGGTGTGCACTGGTTAGAGGTTGTTGGTACGGTGAAGCACCACACCAGCTAACGAGAATAGGATGTTTTGGGTAATTTTGGTCGAGAAAAACTACTTGGCTTTCTCTCACTGGCCCTGAGCTGGAAGCCTGCAGTGGTGAAGGGAGGGATGGGGCAAAATAAAGAAAGCTGGCAGCCACTGCCTGGGTCCTGACTGTTCTGGGCTGGTGGCTGCCAAGACTGCGATTGAAGTTTTGGCCTGGATGCTAAAGAAAGTGTAGGTCTCACTTTCATCGTCGCGTATGTCCACTGGCCGTTTATATATCCAATCCCTCGCTGTTCGGTTATATATTTATTACAAAAGGGCGTAACTCAGGAACAGCCAGGTGGAAGAGAGATGAGCAGGGAGAGAAGGGTGCAGAGCTTCTGTTCTCTCTCTGATCCTCTCCGGGTACCAGCAACACAGAAGTTCCTCTGCATAACAGTTTATGGGCTTGAGTTATACAAAGGCAATTGTTTTCCCACGGAGACCGGCCTGTGTCTCACGCGTATCACTGAGCTGTCAGCAAAGGTTGATCTTTTATAAGGACTAACCAGGGGCTGGCTGATCTTCTGAGTTCTTTTGCTGTGTTCCCTCATATAATCTCCTCCCTCTTCTGAGAGGACGAGACTGGGGCACAGAGGAGCAAAGGAATTTGCCTAAATTGACACAGACCATGCAGAGATGGGATATCGACCCAGACAGACTCACTGTGTGCTATTATGCCATGTAGTCTTCTCGTATTTGGGAGATGGCTAAAGTTAAAGAAACACTCAAAGGGGGTTGAATTGATGAAATAAATTGCCTGGGAAAAAGTGACAAATATAAAAGACAATTTACAATCTCTTAGGGAAATGTTAAATGTAAAGTTTATGTTTTATGCTTGCCTAATAGCTTGTATTTTACAGTGTTTTTATGTATGACCTCATTTAATTCTCACGTCGTAGAGTGGTAGCTAATATAGCTGACAGATCAGGAAACTGAGGCAAAGTGGGTCTCCACACGCAGCTACCCATCACTGGTCAGCTCAGTAGTTTTCAATAGAGCTAAACCTTGGTGCTGCACAAAGCCCTGCACAAACTTTCCTTTTCAGTCACTCAGACCTTGTGGAGACCCATCGTGTAAGTGTAAATCCACTGAGAGGAAACAACCCAAGCAAGAATGGAATCAAACAGAAGAGCTACATACGTAATGGGTTCCTTTAATAAAAGAAGCAGAGCAAAGGCAGCATTGCCATCTGGGTATAAACTAAACTCTTTGGGGCATATTATGGTTATGTATCCGTTAAGAAAGACCAAAACAAATTTTTCTAATTCATTACTAGAAACACATTATCTCAGGATTGTCACATATGATATATACAATAAATTATACTTCATTGGTACTTTCCATAGAAATATGTATTTTACCATGAATGAGGTAGGTTATATTTTTTACACATTTCTAAATATCCTCTCTTTATTAGCTGGTTCTGTCTGATCCGGGCCTATTCTTCCTTCAGAGGTCAGATCAAACATCACCACTTTCAAGAAACCCTTCAAAGCCTCTGAGTGAGAATAACTCTCCTTTTCCAAAGCACTCACAGATATGTCTTAGAATATCTCTTTGCCTCCCACCTTGTGAAGTTCCTGGATGGCATAAAACATTTGGGATTTATCTTTTCTCCTCCTATGACCCCAAGCCCAAGGCACCTAACACTGAAATAATTTTTTGAATCACTAAGAAAATATCTGAATACAATCTTGTCCTATGACTTTAGACACTTACTGGGATTTGAGCTGTTCCAATTCTACCACTGAAATAACTTTAATCAAGAGCTCTCTTCATTTATGAAATTTAGTTTTTGACAGGGATTTACCTGAGTGGCACTGCGCCTGCCTCGCAAGCACAAGGTCCTGAGTTCGATACTCGGTATCAAAAAAATTTTTTTGTTTGTGTTTAATTTTATCATATTTTATGTTGGCCTTCTATCCCAATTCCACCACAGAAATGACCTCAATCAAGAACTCTTTTCATTTAAAAAAACTATTTTGTGATTTTTTATCATATTTTATGTTGACCTTCTATACCAGAAGATTTGCATTAATTCAAAGCATTAGTAATTAGCACTGACAAAAATAGCAAATGCACATCCATAAGGATAAAACATAAAGTGTTTTTTAAACAAATAGGAAGATGCTGGTCATTAAATTTAAACACACTATTTTCAGATTTGCTCTTAGTATAAATTTTATAAATATTCAGCCAGATTCCATTCAATATGAAAGTACAAGCTTCAAAATCAGAATTTCATTAATACAAGCTGGCAAATAAACTGCTACTGAAAGCATTTAAAATTTCAGAGCAAAAAATATATCACTTCTACTAAGGTCAACTGCTCTTCAGGGAGAGAAAATAAGGTTAATTTTATTAGCAAATATTTTAACAAATAAATTGCATTAACATTTATTTTATGGAAGTTTTCATATAAGAACTAAGAAAATAATTCCTCATTTAGTTACGATACAAGAGAAAATGCTGCGTTTCTCAAACACCGAGATCTTCCTGTATTCCCTGCCTTCCCCTGGGCCATGTGTGGTGGGGCTGTGACCCTCCACTAAAAAGCTTACTTACTAGGAAGATAAAGAGCAGGAAATAACAAGAATACTACTGAGGCTTGTAATGAAAAGCAAGCTAAAAAAGATGAAGCAATTATTTTCAATTATGCCGCATTCTATGAAATATAAAAAATCTCCCATTACATTCTGTATAACATGAGAAGAGTTCTCTGATCCGTGAACGGGCTAATTGAACAGCTATTCACATAATTCCGGCCCTTCCAGGGAGAGCAGCAATCAATGATCAGAAAGGAAAGTACAAGTCATGCAAAGCACGAAATCTTACTTTCTCATCATCTTCAGTAAATGGAGCACCTTCAGGAATCTTATTTATCGCTTGTGCCACACCAATAATCTCACCATCACTGCTTCGGATAGGCATACACAGTATTGATTTTGTCTTGTATCCTGTTAGCTTGTCAATTTCATCATTGAATCTTTGATCCTAAAAATAAGACAGAGAAAACATTAATTCCAATTGCATTGTTGTTGTTTGGAAGGAAAAACAAGTGTAATTCTTTATTTGATATTTTGTTACTGGGAACACTCCAGTATCACAAGAACAAGAGTCCTTAATTCTATAATAAGACCTGGGCTGGTCTTGGGTCCTATGAAGGCTTCCCCAAACCTTCATTCAGGAGAGGAGACCCTGAAAGGACAGAAAAATTGAAGACAAAACTAAAACTCCTGATCCAAATGAGTAGGCAACCAGTGATTCAGAAAAATGATTAATTGTATTAACTTTTTAAAAAATCATCAAAGAATCACTATGTGTCAGACTGAGAGCTAGGAGACACACCAGGAAACAAGAGAAAGATCATCTCTGCCTCATGAAACTTGCAATCTAGTGGGTGAGACCCACAACAAAAAATATGTAATTATATGCTGTGGTAAATGATACCAAAGAAAAGAAAAAGGTATATGTGGGAGGCAAATGATGGAAAGAATTTTTCTGAAAAGACATACGAAGTCCTAAAAGCAGGAAAATACTTAGTTCCAAAGACTTCCATGCCAATGTAATAGCCAGAAGCCAAAGGGAGAATGAAAGAGGGAGGCAGGGATTTAATGCTGCCAAGTCTTACAGGCCTGGAAAAAATTATGTTTAATCATAAATGCAGTGGAAAACTGTGGAAGATCTTGGAGAATAGTGGCATGATTAGACGTCTCTGAAATTACAAGTTTGCTTGTTCTTCCCCAAAACAGAATATAAGATCTCTGTCAGCAGAAACCTTGTCTCTCTTTTTTATTGCTTCATCTTGGCATGTTGTAGGTTCTTTATAATATTTAATAATGTATTTTTAAGATTGTACTGCCACTATGCAAAATTTAAATAAGTTTTAAGGCCTTGAGACCCCACCTTTCACTCTTAGGCATATATTTAGACACACTTTTCTACATGTACAGAAGAAAGATTCATGAATGTTCACTGCAACATGAATTATGAAAATTAAAATTAGAGGGAATGGAAATAAGGGAAAAGAAAAAAATGTGAAAAAAATTAAAAAATGGAAACAAAGTCTTTGTAAATAGGGAAGGGTGAAGGGAGTGAAGGGAGGGCAGGGTTATGGGGAAAAAATAAGAACCAAGATATATCATAAAGGCACAAGTTCACAATGATAAATGTAACTGTATTGTTTGTCTTAAATGTACCAATAAACTTAATGGAAAAAAAAGAAAATAAAAATTAGAAAACATTTGAATCAGTAGTAAAATAAATACATGAATGATGACCTCTTGGCTTGCTAGCATATTTTATAATTTAAGTGAATAAACTAGAGCAACATGTATCAATTTGAACAAATATCAAAACCAAATGTTAATCAAAACAAGCAGCAGTCTAGTATTATTTATATAATATTGTGGTATTACTCAAATGAGAGGTTTAATTTGCCTCACATTTTAAGGAGACTCAGTCCCGGGGGGGCACTGATTCCAAGGCAGAGACCGCGAGAGGTAGAGTGGAGCGAAGCCACCTAGTGCGTGGTGACCAGGAAAGAGAGGAGGACAGAGCCACAAAGGAACAGGGGAGCTCAATCCACACACTGAATCCTCAATACGGTTATATTATCTGTGCTAAAATAAGCTGTCTATTAATAGAAAAATTTTAAATGTTTCATTTTCCACTGTGAGACTCTCTAAAATGAAGATGTATTATATAAAATTACCATATTTATTTTAGTAACGGGTATCAAATTCAGGGATATTGTATGACTGAGCTACTTTTTTATTTTGAGACACAGTCTTTCGAAGTTGTTCAGCCTGGCCTGGAATTTGCAATCCTCTTGCCTCAGCTTCCCAAGTGGCTGAGATTACAGGTATGTGATACCATGCCTGGCTAGAAATAAAACTAAAAAAATAAAATTTTCTGTATTAAAATATATTCTATTCATTTGTGGAAATAGTATGTGAAGTAAATATAAGGTTAAAGTTTTATAAGCAAAGATAATCTATTTTATTTTTAAATGTTTGAAATACTTTATTTTAAAAATTAAGACCATTCTTAAAAATGAAGAATTCTGTGGAGGATGATTAAGGGTGGGAAAAGGAGATACCAGGTAGGAAATTTCAGCAGTCCCTGCAATGTTCAGAGATGGTTTGTGTCAAGAAAAGGGCAGCAACAGTGTTAAAAAGAAGTAGTCATATGTCAGAAGTTGAGTCTACCCTGCTTCCTGATGGGTTTATTGGTGAGGGAAAATGAGAGAAGAAACAGGAGCCTTACGTTTTGATTTGAAAATCATGTGTTGAGCCCAGGCTGGGAAACTTAGCAACTTAGTTCTCTTGCAATTTTTTAAAAAATTATTTTTAAAAAGGGCTAGGGATGTAGCACAGCGTGAAGGCCTTACGTTCGATCACTAGTGCTTCAAATAAGGAGAAAGGCGCGGAGGAGGGGCGAATCTACAGAGAAAGAAACTGTGTGGATGAAAATGAATAAGATGCATCCCTTGACCTAGATCAGGGGTTCTCCCCCAAACATTCCCGTGTTGAAAGATATTTAGAAAGTAAAATCGCTAGGACTTTCTAACAACTGTGAAGAAAGACTGCCGAAGACGCAGAGGTCAAAAACTATTCCACGTCGCCGGTGTGGGACTCTGGGTGGGGGGGCAGTGAGTCACTGAGCGAGGAGCCGATCTGAGCTGAGGGGCATGAGGATCTGGGGTATTTTGAGGGTTACTTGACTGTGGGTCTTCCACTTTGTGTTAATGCCCCCCAAACCCTGTGTATGTGTGTTTGTTTGTTTGTTTGTTTCTTTCTTTCTTTCTTTCTTTCTTTCTTTCTTTCTTTCTTTCTTTCTTTCTTTCTTTCTTTCTTTCTTTCTTTCTTTCTTTCTTTCTTTCTTTGTTTCTTTCTTTCTTTCATTCAGTAAAAGGATATAGCACGGAAAGCAAACACTGCCCAGGTAAGGATAGAACAGTGACCAATAAATTTTAAACTGAGGATCTTGAGATGTTTGCCACATGCCACCAGCAAAGCATCACAGAAAACCAGATACAGAGAAAACAGGACCAATAAAGAGGGCAGAATCATTGGGCTTTTTGTTGGTGTTTCTAAAAATGGAAATGCAAATGGAAAACTAACAAATGCCTCTGGGTCTATGATGAAATATCATGAGGAGAATGCTGCTCAATTTTTATTCATCTCCCTTAGAACAAGAGAATAAAAAATGATCTATAACAGGAGAGATTTCTAATACATTAAGGTAAGTGCTTCTTTATTAAGGTCGTTAAAATCCAGAATGAGTTCCTTACAATCATGGTAGACTCTTTGTGCTTTGAGTATTTTTATGTCACGATATTTTTCCTTCAGATATATCAACTATAGCTACCTACTCTTGAGATGTGAAAGGATCTTCCCCGGGTGTGTTATTCAGACCCATCTTTTGTATGTGGCACTTAACTCTGAATTTTAACATTTAAAAAGAGTCAGAAAACAAAAGCATTTTGTTCTTTTTAGGAAAAGAACTGAGCTGTGCCCTGTGAATTTCTTATGCAGGATCTTGCAGCCTTGTTCACAAGTTCTGAAAGTGAATATGATGTCACTGTTCACGAGGAGAAAATGAGTCCTCACCTTCAAGATCCACTCAGGCTGAAGAAATCTAACCTGGATAGTGAGAGTTTTCATGGTGGTGAGGGATAAAAATAAATACTCATTATGCTTGAGAATTCCTGTCACCCCCGCCCCAAAGAAAGATAGTTCAAGAAAATGTACAGGAGCTAGGTGCACTGGTGATCTGCTATAAGTCCAGCACTCTGGGAGGCTGAGGCAAGAGGATCACAAGTTTGACAGATTTAATGAGATCCTGTCTCAAAGTTAAAAATTAAGAAGGGAGGGCACGTCTAGGGATATCGTTCAGTGTGACAGTCCTACATGCAAACACCACGATGAAAAAGAAAAAAGGCTTAAAGCAAAACTGAAATCCATCCCCTCTTTCCAGTTTCTCAGAGAAACCACTGCAGGTTCCTGACAGCAGGAGCCGAGTCTCAGGCTCACGGCTCACATGGGTTACTAAGATCCCTTTTATCCCCAAATATTTAAGGATTGGGTCTCCATCACCAACACTCTATGGTAACATTTTCCTACGTCAGAACTGGCCAGGAACTAGTCTTTGCTCATTAACACGTGTGTGATACATAATAATCACATGCGCGTTGAGGAATTGGTTCATATACATACTACACCTTCATCATCTTTACTTCCCGATCTTCTCCCCACCCTGCGCTCTCTGTCCATCTCCAAATCCCCTCCCCATCTCCACAAATAAGACCTAGTCTTCACCACTATTTGAAAACCCTCACGGTGACTTTTTAAATACTTTACTTTGGGTCTTTCATAGCTAAGATGCTCATATTTTTCAAGTCTAAGAACATCCACAGGATAGTACCTATGAGGGACAATGTAACAACGAAAGCCCTATTCATTCCCTGCTGCTTTCAAGTGAATTTGTATCTAAATTATCGTTCCATCAATTACGGAGGAAAAGGTGACAAAATATACACATACGCATCCAGTCTACAGTCTACAGACACTGTTAGGTCTAGGTTCTGCAGTCTACAGACACTGTTAGGTGTGCCCAGCAAGGCGGCGTTCCTTGGCATCACTTATTAACGTTGGACTCATCCGTGGAGCTTTGCAGGAAACTACACCGCCATAGTCCCACCCTAACCAATGAAACCACAACTGCTGGAGGGAGGGACTGAAGAGGGCATCCGACTTCCGGTGATGGGTCCAGGTTAAAACCGCTGAATTACAGGGCCGCCTAATAAATGCAAGGGCTCTGGGCCTGAAGGAATGAATACACTTTGGAGCTTTCGGGACAAGTTTACTAGTTCTGTTGTTGTTACGGTTACATTTTCCCTCCACTTTCTCTGAAGGGTTAATGGCCTGGGTCTGTGTACCTTTCTCAGTGCCTCGCTCTCCAACCCCTTTCCCCCAAAGTGAAGTCTGGGG